GGGGGGGCGATAATAATCGAAAAGAGGGCGGTGTTTAGCGTTTCACTAAAATTATTATATCTAGTTGGCTACTTCTAGGAATGCAAACCAATTGAGTGGCTAGCGAGCACTCAAGTCAAAAAGTTCAGGTCGAACTCAAGTTTCACACAAAGCACAAGTCGAGTACGAGTACTTCATACTAAACACGAACTTGTATCTTATAAATTCAAGTGCACGATGAACGGTTTGAGTTTACATTTAATTCATTTAATTATCTCTAATTTGAGCAAAATGTCTTTATATATAATGCATAGTTGTGCGAGCCTATGTATCGATTTATAATACTTCATAATTTTTATGTGTCGAATTCTTGTGCTCTGCAATTCTATGTCTTAGTTTTTAGTGCTTGCAAGTAGTCAATGTAGATATGAATTTCTATTACTATTCTTTGTATGTTCCAATGCTCAATCAGAGTCGAGCTAGAGCATCTACAATGCATTGAGTCTAGTCTTGCATATGTGGCATGTAAGTAAACCCAAGTCTTGGATAATGTGGATAAAACTATGAGAAATTAACAAAACCACTACAATACAAAAAGACTATGTCTCTACTTGGGTTTAAAATAGACTGATGGGTAGACCAAGTCTCTTTTCTGACTGTCACATCAGCAAGACCCAAACTACTTTTATTTACATTGGAGAATATATATTTTTTTATGAGCTAGTCGTGGAAATTTAGCAACCAAGCAGCTATTCATTCAACACTGAATATGTACCAAAACAAACCGGGAGAATTTTCGAGCCTGTCAAGGAAATTAGCAATCAAAGCAGCTCATTCATTCGACACTGCTCCAACACTGTGTTCTTTCCAAATAATGAACTTTTGCGCACACAACACACACTCACACACACAAAGCATAACCTTAACCACACATTGTACAATCACAAGAAACAGTCAGTTTGGAGGCTATAGACTAAGATCACAACAACAATAGTAAAAAAGAAGCAAAAAGATGAGAGTTTTACAATGGAAGTCAGAGTTGAAACCCGTACAACAAACAAACGGTGTCAAGGAAAGATTTCCCGGCGAGAGTTCCATAGTCGCAGGCGATGGCGAGAGGCCATTGAAAAATCAGCTAGACCCAAACAATCCCTAGGAAAAAGTGCGCCTTCACGGTGACAGGTACTCGTCGTACACCTAGGCGTGCCAGCTCTTGAGCTCAGACAGAAATGGCAGAAAGAGGTGTTCCGGGAGGCACGACAGCGAGGAAGAGAAAGAAGACGACTAGGGTGGCGTCGAGAAGCTTGCAGAATACGCCCAGTCACACGCGATGGCTTGGTATATACCACCTTTTCTGCTGGTTTACGAAAAATGCACCAACATGGTTAATTTTTTGTCGATAATATATTTAAGTCCAATGTATAGATACTATTTAAAAAAAAACTGTATAGATATTAATTGTAATAATGATGATATATCTCATTTTATAAATTTAGTTGTTAAAAAAAATGAGTAATATAATTATAAAATATTTCACTTATATATGAATTACTATATGAACTGTACAAGTTTAATGAATAACGTAAATTTTTATAAACTAAGGTATCGCGATTAATTATTAAATGAGAAAATATTAAAATTGTCGTTTTACCAATTGATTACACGATTTTAACCGATCTTTATGCCAATTTATTGAAAAAGAAAAATCTTTAATGAGATAAAAAGAAAATATAATATAATTATAACATAATACTTGAAGAAAAAAATTTGCTACATTTTTCTATAATTGTTTAACATTTAGTATGATTTATAGTTAATTAATTTACTAATATTATATGATAGAATAGTAAAAAATGTATTATTATATTTAATTAATTTAAAGTATAATGTTTAGTTTCCATTTCTAGATGAAAAAATGGGTTTAAAAAATTTGTTAATTAGATTGCCTTTCTCACTTTAAAGTGATTTAAATTTTTCATGAATCCTCGAAGACAATTCTTTTTCCATTTTGAGAAAAAGGGGAGATGCTAAATTTCGGAAACATTCTGTCGAGATTTGTGACAATTAAATCATCATGTAATAGGAAAATAGTTGATTTAATTGTTACAACCTCCGACGGAATAGTTCCGTAACAACACCGTAACATTTTTCTAAGAAAAGGGAAATCCAACAAAGATAAATAAATAAAAAAAAAATCTGATACAGTCTTCAATTTTTTCTGTCAAAATATAAATAACAAAACAAAGAAAACCTCAAATATCCCAAATTTCCAAACCCTAGACATTAAGAAGTGAAGAAAGAAAAATGAGTGAAAGGCCCGTGCCCAGAAGGGAGAGCCCCTGGGGAGTGTCCGATGGCTACCACCCTGAACCCAAAGCCCACCGGTGCAATGATCGAGCTGAAGATGTGATCTATGTAAGCATTTTTCATTTATCCTTTTAGCAAAAATAAAAATAAAAAATAAAAATTGATCTCTGTGTTTTATGGGGTTTTACTGCATAATTTTGAGCTTAGAATTTGGCCAAGGTGAAAGATTCTAAGCTGTAAATCTGCATAATCAGTGCGAATCTGCATAGTCAGTGCACCGACAAATGCCCTCATTAGTTGTTGTAAGAAATGTTGATGTCTTTATGTGGAGTGGTATTGTTGTGTTTCTGTAAAGATTGAATCTTTTTGGCGTTTCGTGGCGAAGATGGAATAGGGCTTGAGAGAGTTTGAGCCGGTTGTTTGAAATAGTCGTGTGAGGTCGAATACTAGAATGTGTTTGTAATATGATTTTGAGTTGCTCCACCTGTGAGATTCTAGCTGGAAAAAGAAATTTCATTAGCAGTGGGAATATGGGAATAGCTGGCTCGGAGAGTTTTCTCTAAACGGTCCCTGTTAGTTTTTACAAGAGAAGTTGATGTCTTTATGTGGATTGCGGAGTGATATTATATTGTGTTTCTTTAAAGATCGAATCTTTTTGGCGTTCCGTAGTGAAGATGCAACAGGGCATAGAGTTTGGGTTGTTGTTTTTTTTTTGAAATAATCGCGTGAATGTCGAAAACTAGAAGTTGTTTGTAATATGATTGAGTTTTGAGTTTCTCCACCTGTGTTTGCAAGTGCACTGTGATTTAGCGGCCTAAATTAGTTTGCTTTTCACCTCTTTTTGCTTGATTTTAAGCCTTTTGGGTTGAAAAAAATGTTGCTTCATCAAATAATTAGCTGATTGGGGTGAATTTTCAGTGAACCATATTAAGAGAAATAGAATGTTCGCTGAGTGATGGTGCAATTGCCTATGTGTTTTTAAATTATTTTAAGTTCTTCACAGAATGAAGTTCTTATCATTAGGCTTCTGCTGCATTGTGTAACTATTTGATACTTGATATAAAATATAAATGCAAATTATCACATTTTTTATTCATGGTATTATTGAGAGATTAGATATGACTAAAGGGATACTTATACTATAGCCAGTGCAGTGGTCCGTTTATGCTGTAATGTGGAGTTTATGGTACCTTTAATGTTATTTACTCTTTCAATCTGCAAATGCTTAATAGTGGCACTATCAATTGAGATGTATGCACTTTACTAAGTCTGAAAACATAATAATCAAATGTGAAATCAGTCAGCTACTAAAACTCTTACTCCCTCACAATATCGATAAGATTACCGAATATTTCCGATAGAGCAAGCTAGTTTTGGCGTTACAGGATTCTCAGAAACTATTTTTTTTTTTTATTCGTTAAGTTTTATTTATTAGTAATAGTAAGAATACTTCGATTGCAGGCCTGTCTAACTCTTACTCCCTCGTGACGTAGGTCACCTATATTTGCAAAATATAGCAAATTGTTTTTGAAATGTTCTGCATGCTGAGTGTATCTGCTTTTATATTGTAGGCGTTTTTCGAAGGTAACCCTTTCAAAACAGTTCCAGGCCCTTTCAAGCTATTTTATCGGTGCATGCGCTCCAAGCCCGGGTACATTACTCTCGTCTACTCGGGTTTATCTTATTATTCTTTTCTGCCAATATCTTGCAAAACTATATGTACCAATCTTGATTTCTAGCGAAAATCAATAAATAAATAAATAATCTTGAAGAGTACCATCCTTAACTTTTTTTTTTTGGGGAAATTTTGCTTTGTAAATAGATCAATGATTTTTTACATAGTTTAAAAAAAAAAAATTAATGTCTTCGCATTTTTATTTTCTACGCATGGGTTCAATACTTCCTTCCGATTCTAATTTGATTATTTTCTGAGAAATAGAACTGTTAAATTCTTTTTTTATGCAGGGAAGAGCCTACCGAACCCTTCTATTACTTGGACTTGGAACCCCCCAAAAGAGAAGTAAAACTTGAGTAGAAGATTTCATTTACTCTTTCTTCGAATTGTGATCTTGTGACACAGTCTCATCACTTGTTACGACATTATAATGTAAGTTGTTATCGATCGAGTGAACCCTAAGCAGAGTTGTTATGATCTCAATTCTGATGTTGAAATAAGTGAGATCAATATGTCCTTGAGATGCTTTTTTTTTTTTTTTTGAACCTTGCAGTTTGGCCTTTTTTTTTTTCCTGGCATTCTTTAAATCTTATTGACAGGGTTCTTGAGACAAAATTTGAAAGGCCTCGCGTTTCTTTGTGTAAATATCACAAACCTCAAGGGTAATTTAGCAATCATCCTTCGTAAGTAATATTGATATAGGGAAGCGTACGAGTGGGAATAATAAACGAGTAAACGAGATACTCTCTCGTAAAACACGTAAGAGTCACAATTAATTCGTTTTCTTATTCAAAATCAACTTCAGATAACAAAAGAGGGGGAGTCTTTTATAAAAGGTTCATAAACTCTATTCCTAACTTGTCCAACAAGACAAGATCTTATAATAATATCTAAGCTTAATTTATTATCCAAGATAACTAATAATAATAATAATAATAATAATAATAATAATAATATTCTACACCAAATATGAAGGGAGATCGAGAAAAGTCGATAAAGGCATACTTCGACCAATCGCGAATTCTGCTTTATATCGTACTCTGCTCGGGCAGAATATAACAGTTCCAAGTCTGAATTAAGTTCCATCTATCTTTTTATATATAAATTCATAAGCACTACAAGAGTAATAAAGCCATTCAGCTGGAGAACACAACACAAAAATACAAGATTAAATACCAACAAAATCATATATTAGAGACATATACGAAATTTGAAAGGTAAAATCAATCCAAACAGACCAAAAAAAAAAACAAAACAAAAAAAAAAAAAGTGCAATGAACAAAAATCATACTATGCCAAATACCAGCAGTGTAACAGTTTTATATCAGTCGCCTGAAGATAAACGTAGTGCGTACAATAAAATCGGCCGCATAATTTCATCAGAGTTCAAACATATATATCTCCATATCTGAATCTTATTTCCAGGAAAAAAAAGACGCATTACTCTGCTCATGAATCAGGCAAATGCTCAAGAAAACGATAAAAATGCACATCCGCATTTCGATGGGATGTAAAAATAATGGAGCATTTTTATTCTCACATTTTTCACTTGAAGAAGAAACTCAAAGCATATGCTGATCAGCATCGTCATTACTAATTACTACTGCTTAGTCAACTGTCGAATAACATATGGAAGTATACCGCCATTGTTGAAGTACGCCAACTCCACCTATAATAAAAAATGACAAAAGCATAATAATCAAAACCCTTTTCGAGACAGCATAATTTTTTTTCTTACGGACCAGATTTACTTTTCTTCTCACGTATAACTGAAATTGTCGATAAAAGACGGAATTTTACCTCAGTGTCAAAGCGGACAGTGCAAGTGAATTCTTTTCCAGTGTTTGTATGCACGGTAACATCTTGGCCAGGGCGAATTTTGGAAATGTTGCTCGGGAGGTCAATGGTGTAACGTTCATGACCAGTCAACCCTAATGTGTCTGCATCCTCCCCGGACTTGAAACACAGGGGAATAATGCCCATCCCCACGAGATTGCTGCGGTGGATCCTCTCGAAGCTTTTGGCAATCACAGCTTTAACACCCTGTTTATAGAATAAAATGTCAGCCGGAGAATGTTGGTAAATAATTAAATAGACGTTAATTAAAGGATTTAATTGGTAAACGTTGTACTCACCAACAACATTGGGCCCTTAGCAGCCCAATCCCTGGAGCTTCCACTTCCATATTCGGCTCCAGCCAAAATAATCGTGTCCTGCCCCTCAGACTTGTATTTCTGAGGGTAGTTTTGGAATTTGGTTAGGATAAATATGGTCCCAAAAGGTAATTTGCAAAGAGAAACAATAACGGAAAACATGATGCTTTCAATAATTTGACCACGGCAACTCGAAAAAAACACTTCGAATTGAGGGTCTTCAAACGATGCAGTTTTTGAGATTTGAAGGATTACTTCTTTCTTCACTTTATAAGTTTCATTTCAATCATAATATTCGTAACTACCATTTTTCCTTAAAAAAAAAAACAATTGAAAAATAAGACAATAATCCAAGATGTAAATTACCATTGCAGCATCGAACACGTAGAGTTTTTCTCCTGTAGGGACATGAACAGTCTTCGGGCCAACTTCTCCATTCAACAACTTGTTCACGAGACGAATATTCGCAAAAGTACCTCTGGCCATTATTTCATCATTTCCACGTCGACTGCCATAGGAGTTGAAATCCTTGCGGTCCACTCCACGCTCAATCAGGTACTTGGCAGCCGGGCTATCCTTGTGGATGTTGCCAGCTGGCGAGATGTGATCGGTTGTGATACTATCGCCAAAATTTAGCAAGCAGTAGGCATCTTTCACTCCATGCGGGCCAGGAGGTTCCATGGTCATATTTTTGAAATATGGTGGCTCATGGATGTAAGTAGAATTTGGATCCCACGAGTATAGTTTGGCAGTGGGGACAGATAACTGGTTCCACATGGGATTACCCTTGGTAATAGCTTCATACGTGCTCTTAAACATATCAGGCAAAACACTCGATTGAACCACCTATAGGAAAAAAAAATGTCATATTTGCTGTTGTATTAAATTTCTCTGAAAAAAAAAACGAGGCAATATGTACCTCAGCCACTTCTTCGGTTGAAGGCCAGATATCTCGGAAGTATATTTCCTTACCGTCCTTGCCAACACCAATTGGCTCCTTCTCAAAGTCAATATCAACCTGTTGTTAAAAAGATAACAAATATGTTTACAAATAATTACTCCGTTAGAAATAGACTCTGTGAAATCACATATATGAAGAAATTGTGCATATTTAGATTTAGTGGTGTGAAAAAAAGTTGTTTGGAAAAACTAACTTGAATTTTGATAATGTGATTAGTACTTAATTGATGATCGAAAAGGTCAGTAAGAGACTAAGACCGCCAATAATGAACATGACAGATATTAAAAAGATTATAGTGTCGAGTGTTAGAAGATTCAAAAGGTGAAAAATCAAATAAACAGTGTAATTTTCGGAAGAAAAATTAGGATTTGACGTTTCCTCAAGAAACATACTACTTCAAGGAAATTTTTGCAAATTAAGGGGGTGATTGTTTACAAAATAATTTACTCACTTTTATTTCAACTCAAAATCTAACTCAACTTTAACTCAACCTCACTATCTTTAATATTATTTATATAATTAAATAATACAAACCAATTATTCTTACACATCACATCAACTTTAATTCACTATTCATCTACTCACATAATTTTAACTACCTATCATTTCCAATCATTTTCAATCATTTATCTCTTACTTTTACATCAAATCAATTTTAATTATTATATTTTAAATATTATTTTAATACATTCTTAAAATTCCACTACAACTAACCATACCACCTTTTTCAAAATTAACTATAGTTAACCAAAATAACTCAAATTGAACAAATTATTTCATAAACAATCAAGCCCTAAGCTTCTCTATCATCCACAGCCAAATTGGAAATTCCAAGATCATTAGAGCCACATTCCATTTGTAGCGTTTTAGTATCGTATAACCTTAAGAGCATGCTTGGATACAAGATTTCTCCAAAAAAATCTAATCATTTTTAACCAAATCACTTTTTTTTTTAACACAAATCTAACTCAACTTTAATTTAATCTCATGCTCAATATTATCAATATAATTAAATAATACCAATCAATCATTCTTACACATTACATTAACTTTAACTCACTATTCATCCACTTACATAATTTTAACTATCACTTCACATCATCTTTCTCCTACTTTTCCATCAAATCAACTTTAACTATTTTATTCTAAATATTATTTTAATATAAACTCAAAAACAACTAACCATAGCACCTTTTTCAAAATTAGCCATGGTTAACCAAAAAATCCAAACAAAACTAAAACCTTCTATCCAAGCATCCCTTAACTATCATATTGAATTGCTTGGCCCTTTCAATCATACGCATAAACATCGTTGCAGTTAGATTATTGTTGAGATATATATAAGGTGAATCCTTTTCATCAGCTTTGATAGTAAAAACATGACATTCGATTACTTACACAAAAAAGAAGAAATAAATGCAGAGAGAAATTATTATTTTCTAACCGTTCCAGCAAGAGCATAAGCAACAACTAGAGGAGGCGAGGCAAGATAATTTGCTCTTGTCAAAGGATGCACACGACCCTCAAAGTTACGGTTTCCAGAAAGTACAGCAGCCGCAACAATGTCTGAAAAAATCAAGATTAAAAAATATGTTCATAAAATCACAAGTCAGATAACCAAAGATATAGAAAGATCGAGATTAAAAAATATATACCATTTTCTGATATAGCTGCCCCAACTGATTCATCTAAATCCCCAGAATTTCCAATGCATGTTGTGCATCCATACCCAACAATATGGAAGCCTTGCTCGTTCAAGTATTTCTGTAGCCCACTGCATCATATGAATGAAGTTCACACACCATATGAAATTAACTTGTGCATTTTACAAATGTTTTTACTACAAAATAAACAGGCTATGTGATACCTCTTCTGCAAATACTTAGTAACAACTCCAGAGCCTGGAGCAAGACTTGTTTTTATCCATGGTTTTACCTAATAAATTATTACAACCATCGGTTAAACATTCCAAAAGAAGATCAATGGAATAATCAGTTCAGTTCATGATAAAGAAATTAACCTGAAGACCCAGCTCACAAGCCTTTTTCGCCACAAGGCCAGCACCAAGCATGACACTGGGGTTTGATGTATTTGTGCAACTTGTGATAGCAGCAATTACAACACTGCCGTGCTTAAGTTCTGCAGGTTGTCCATGGAATGAAAACTTTGCTACTTTTTCTTGCGCTTCTTTTGGCACAGCAAATCCCTAAATTACAGTCAATGATGATTTAGTAGAATAGACTCAA